AAAGCAGCAGTTAAGGGAGGTCCGAAAATTTCATGCCACTACTACTGAGGGATACACGAGCCCTAGTGAAGAACATATGCAGTGGAAATAATAAACGAACCTTACCTCAGAAACTCAAAAACAGGGTGGAAAGTCCCTCAAACATGGGTGTTCTTGGGGATTTCCCCAATCCCGCCCCCTTGCCGGCCGTCATTGGACGCGTCGGCAATCGTGCTCGTTTTGGGACCACAGGGAAAATTGATTGAAAAATGGAGCGCGTTTACAGCGGGCACGTTCAGACAACTCGTCCAACGTGCGTCTTTATCCATTGCTGAGCGGCAGAGGGAGAGTACCTGTCTAAGACCCTCCCCGACGTTTTTTTCCAGTTTTTCATACATTAATCGTCTGGTTTTCATCTACAACTTCATTATTGGGTTTTTTCCCGCGAAACCGTTCCTGAACTGTTGCTTTAAAACCATGTCGCATCGCGCTTGAGACATAACGCCGCCGCGTGATGTCACCCCCACCCCCCTAACTCATCAGCACTGCATTTTCTTTAATACTGACCAAGTGCTCTATCAATCTACCCTGAAACCCGTGCTAAGACTGGATATTTCTACATTTTTCTAAAACAACAGTGTATGAAAAAAAGCCCAGATATGGATCCCCAACAAAGTTTTGCCTAGTTATGCACATAGTAGATCAACAACAAATTTTTTATCACTCCAGGTGGCGAGTCCGGCTCAGCAGATACGGCTCGAGACCCACGAGGCTTCGCTGTGAAATTTTACACAGAGGAAGGAAATTGGGACTTAGTAAGCTATTAGACTTTTGTAATTTTTATATCATACCCTAATTGAATGCTCTATTACAGGTCGGCAATAACACACCAATTTTCTTTATTCGTGATCCAATCCAATTCCCTAACTTCATCCACACTCAAAAGAGAAACCCGCAAACACATCTGAAAGATATGGACATGATGTGGGATTTCTGGGGACTTCGACCCGAATCCACGCATCAGGTGTGTATAGAAAATAATTCAAGGAGCTTCCTTTGAGAAAGGGTCATATGCAAGATGTCATACTATTCAGGTGATGTTCTTGATGTCGGATAGAGGAACTCCTGACGGGTTCCGTTTCATGAACGGCTATGGCTCTCACACCTTCAAGATGGTCAACGAAGAGGGAGAACCGGTTTATTGTAAATTCCACTTCAAGGTTAGGTTTACTGATTTTCCACGGTGAAAAAAAAACGGGAAAAGGTTCGCCATTGAATCTAGTTAGGATTACGCCACGCATTCCACTTTATGCAGGTTGCGAATACTTGTATACACTGTCGACCAGCACGGCAAAGTGCGAGGGCCAGCCATTGGCTATATAAGAGCTTTTTATGTTATGAGATGCTAACACATGGCCCACACAAGAGGGAATGTTTTTTTTTGAGCTAAGCGGATAAACTATAGTGGACCGCGCCCGTTGGATGAGGCGGCTTCTCCGTAAGCCTTTACCAGAGTATAGAAGGCGAAAGACGTTCACCTCCTCAGGTCAGGTCACCAGAGCTACGCGATAATTGAAACTTAAGGATAGGCTTAAGCTAGAGCGCAAGCTTGGGCTTAGACCACAGGGTGGTCCAAAATTATGAGGACCAAGACATTGTGTCGTTAAAAACGCATAGTAGCTTGATGGAACAAACAAACTTCAGGGAAGTGTTTGTAACTCTTATCTCAAAGTAATTCCAGAATAGAATTGAGATCTGCCACCTGCCCCGTTTACACGAGCCTTCAGATGAAGGGGGATGGCGCGTGCGGTGGCACGCAACTGAGGCGTGTCAAAATGTTTCCAGGCCTTCTGCTCTGCTTTCTTCAGGGAATCAAAGTTTTGTGGGCATTTATTTGCGCTTGCCTCCAGGGTGTAAAATACAGAAATCTAGAGCTATTAGGTGGAAGGTTCCATTGTAACAATTCTTCGAAAGCAACGAACTCGAAAAATCGCTTTTTAGAGAATTTTTGCTTTATTCTTGGGTGCTCGGTCCTGTAAAAAGTCCCAAGTAGACTACTCGAGTGGCTTTCTATCCACTACAGATGTGGAGTCTTTAGAGTGTCTGGCTGGGTTTTCACATCAATTTTTTCATTTTGGGAGTACGAAAGTCGACAAGGGGAGACCTAGTTTCTGCATCTGATAATTATCCTGGTGGTAACTGTAACTTTCGAGTCTCCGAATTTTCCATCTGTGGTGGTTCCAAACTTATTGAAGAGTTGAACTGTTGCTCATAAGAGCTTCTCCTGATACGTTAGACTGCCGCTAGATGTAACGTGCCAGAGCCCCTAGTGAGTTCAATTTGAGGACTGACGTAAGGTGATGTTGTTATTTCACTAGTTTTGAGAACTGCATGAATTTGGTTTCATTAAGGAAGAAGACATTCAACTCTTGGCTAAAATTTCCCAGTGAAATTACTTTTTTTATACACTTCCACCTATTAGTCCCCGCCAATTTCTCACACTTTCTGACGCGAAAATCACAGCTGCGCCTCCAAGACTGCGCCAGGAACCCCAACAATTGCCTAGAATTTTTATCCGGAATCAGGACCCAGCCGGCTATGTCTGACGCGTTGCCCACATGCGCAAGTGTCTCAACAGACTGCTCTAGAAAAAAGCTACGTAACAAAAAAAATTCTCTCAAAAACAGTTGAAATATTTCCACGTTCCAGGCACAAAAGATCAAGAATCTTTCTGCGGCCGATGCTGCTCGTCTTGCTGGCGAGGATCCAGACTTACGCGATTCGCGACCTGTACAACGCAATCGAGAGGGGAGACTACCCGCAATGGAGGCTCTGCATTCAGGTTAGCTGCTCTGTTCAGCTCTCTATTCGGAATCATTCAACGAGATCAATCCCAGGTGATGACATTCGAGCAGGCTGAGAAATGGCCGATGAATCCATTTGACGTCACCAAAGTCTGGCCTCACGGTGAATTCCCATTGATTCCCGTTGGTACCATGACCCTCAACAGAAATCCGAAGAATTATTTCGCTGAGGTTAGTTGAACCGTTTTCAATGCCAATCTTGAAAAGTGAAATTTATTGGACTTATCCAAAGCTCCGAAGTGTTCTCTGACCGCCTACAAAGGCAAAAGTCGTAGCCGCCTCCAAACTAGTCATCCAAGAACGGCTTACTTAAGGAAAAATGTTGCCCCATTATTCGGCAGCGTGAGACACGAATCCAGCGCTTCTGGTCCAGCCCTCACTGCTTCCCGGAATCCGAATTCGCCTTCCAGACAAAATGCTCAACGGTCCGACTGTCACTCCCTACACAATACGCACGCGGGTGATCAGTGTACGCGCGGCGCAGCGCGCCGCGCGCGGCTCGCAGTCGCCCATGGCCCGAGAATTATACCAGAGCGTGCTGTCCCATCAACTGACCCGACAGTCACGAGCTATAACACTCCGCGAGATGGCGTTCCAGTCCACCGACAATCAAACGGTCTTGTTTAGCAACATTTAACCTGGGTGGCGTAAAGCCCATCACCTACGCCGCGCAATTGCGAAATGCATTCTGTTTCAAACTGCACACAATCTGGGATCAAAAACCCAAAGGCATCTTTTCCATCTATCCTGTAAACGAATTCAAGAACAGTGAATGATTAGCCACAACAATCTTCATCCTATTCCAACTTTCTGTTTAAGCCTGAGCTCATTCACTTCTCCCTCCCACACGAAAAAACACCTGCAATTTCAAAAAAAACGCTCCTGCTCTGAAAAGTTGCTCTTACAAAAGACGCACCTTAATTTTCACCCCTGCACTTGACGCGTCAAAAACAATTAAGCGAAATAAGAAGAACCCATACATTAGCGCCATATCTCACGCGTAATCCCATCTATACACACTTGGCAAGTGTTGAGACCGTTCATGCTTTACGCCATACCACGTCCCCCGGCAATATTCAAGTCGGTATAACTCTACGGATTCTTATAGACTCTTTCCACAACGCTACAACCATGTTACCTGGAACAAGTAATACATTTTGTGTGAAAACCCCTAGACTTACCAATGAAAAAACTCTGCTTATCTTGGCTCTCTATCTCTCATTTATTTAGCGCACTGCTCGCAATTACTTCCCACAACAGCTTCAACGCTGGATGTGGAACGGTCCTAAGCAATCGATAAGAGCAGCAATGTTTGGAACACTGAAAGGACACTCGCCTCGTCAACAAAGTCTATCACTGACGAACCAACTTTGAGCAAACCTCCGCGATATTCTGGGCAAAGGTACATGATACCTCATCAGATACTCACTTGCCGCCACGGAGTGTGTAGTGCAAGTGGCGCGCTCACCACGCGAGCGGTCCGGGATCAAATCCTGGGTCGTGAGTCGCCCGGGCCAACCAAGCCTTCCATCCCTCCGGGGTCGGTTAATTGGTACCAGACTTGTCTGGGAGGATAAAAACACTGACTTGAACATCGGCTGGCCCCCGCAAGTCATTGTATAATCAAAAAGGGGATTCGATCAACAGGCCGAATGCTTTATACGAAGTTCTTCCACAGGACGGAATCAAACGCTGAAAAAGCAACCCATTTCAAATTAAGTTAGAGATGGTGAGTGGTACACGAAAGAAGGAAAAACCATGAGAAACGGCCCAGAACCCGAGAAATGGGACCCCTTTCCTTGCCCGTTGATTTGCGCATTGATGCGACTCTCATCGCTGTGCCCTCTTCAACACTACGCTCTCTCTGCTATCTAATCACTCGCCACGTATAGACCTGCGGCGAGTGATTAGATAGTCGGTGGGCGTACCCGGCCAACCGCGCCAAGAGTGAGCCATGCTAGATCGCCGAGGTCAAATCTTTCGCTGCCAATTGCGCGTCGGTCAGCACCCTCAGGAGGTCCGCCTGTCCCCAACTAGGCCATTTCCCCCTTCTTCGACCTTCGTTCTTATCGTGAATTCGTCCTTTAATTGTAATTGTCTTACATAAGCTCTTTACTGCCAGGTGTTAAACAATGAGGAACGAGATCGGCTTGTCGAAAACATCTTCTCGACGATGAAGGATTGCAAATCGTTCATTCAAGATCGTGCAATTCAGAATTTCGGAAAGGTGGGAACTTTCTGATTCACGAATTCCTAGTTTGGGCGGGGCGCGCAACGGCAGCTGCCAGGCCACGAACGCTCCACTTTTTTCTACCATATGGGCGCCGGAGATAGTCCTCCTAACATGAACACCTCGTGTTGCCTGATGCCTTAGATTTCCATGGTTCAAGCCAATCTTCATGAAAAATGAATTTGTAGGTACATCCGGACTTTGGCAACAAACTTCGAAAGAAGATTGACACCTACAAAGCCAGCAAGGTAGGTTTTATCCAAGTGGCCGATGTCAGACTTTGCGATTGGAGCGATTTTGCACCAATTGCAGGAGCGACGGATCGCTTGAGCGATGCGAGCGACGGGAGATTTACCCCGCCGAATACCGATACACACGGCGCCGCTCGGGTAAATCTCCCGTCGCTCGCATCGCTTGAGCGATCCGTCGCTCCTGCAATTGGTGCAAAATCGCTCCAATCGCAAAGTCTGACATCGGCCAGTAGGTTCTGTGTACACAATAAGTTAAGTCCGGAACTGCGAACAAAAACGAGCATATCAGTCAGCTACACTATTTTCCCCCAGTCTTGGTGTGCTATTGGGCTAACAAGATCATCAGTAGGAGGAAAGTACGAGTTCAAGCAGGTTTCAATGCATCAAAAAAGGGGCGGAAATTAGAAATCAGATTAGCGTAAAAATTGACGTGTTTGGATAAGTCGCAGGAAATGATTGAGATTTTAACATTGAAAAAGAAATTGAAAACATTTACTGTCTACTAAAACTTTCAGCATGGCTGATTTACCGTTGAAATTCATAACCACCTCTTCTTGTTATGAGGGTGAGTATGTTGATTATCTATGATGAAAATACCATGAACGATTGACGAATAAATTACGTGAGCCTCATTCAAGGCAAGCTCGGTAAAGCACCAAAATGCAGCATCTAATTTCCAGCATGAGGTATTCTTTGAAACTTAGCGAAAAAAGAGCACTTAACCTACTGAGAGCTGTATTCTGAACAGCAATAATTCAATTTTTCTATTAACCGAAACCAAGTTAAATGCTCACTGAAGTTCCAGCGAGATAATTCATGAGGCTCACTTAACCTTACTCAACATGCTTATTTCACAATCTCGCTTTTCTATCGCCACAGAAACGATGATTACTCCTTATCATGACCTTCACCCACTATCTGATCGTTACTCTTTCCATGTCACTAGTGAAATGAAAAGAGTAATGATCAGGGGCCGTAAGGTATGCTTCCCCGAACAGGAGAGGAACCCCTCCCTGGTAAGGTATGCTCTCCCCGAAAACTCTCGGGGAAAGGCAATGCCACCGGTTCTCGGGGATGTCTCCCGGACTGCATGTCAATCACGGGGATATTTCCCCGACTGCATGTCAATCGGGGAGATATCCCCGAGAACCGGTGAGCATGCCTTTCCCCGAAAGTTTCCGAAGAGAGAAGGAAGGGGTCCTTCTCCTATACGGAGTAGCATACCTTACAACCCCAGATAGTGGTAGGAAGTCCCTCAAACTCTGTCATAATGAAGCGTCTAGCAAAGTGAAACAACCATCAACGACAGCGCGATGTGCATGCCCTTCACATTTTTGCACGGATAACACTCATTCTGCTGAACTCACTTGGCAGTTTGGTGCTAAGTGGGTTGGGGGGGGGGGAACCACGCGGCGGCGACGGCGCTATATTTGGCCGATGTCAGACTTTGCGATTGGAGCGATTGTGCACAAATTGCAGGAGCGACGGATCGCTTGAGCGATCCATCGCTGCGAGCGACGGGAGATTTACACGGCCGACCAACGATAATTCGGCGCCATCAGCTCGTAAATCTCCCGTCGCTCGCATCGCTCAGCGAGCGGCGCGAAGCATTATAACACGCCGCCACAAAGGACACCGAATTAAATTAAAGGCCAGGCCACCAGCTTCAGTATAATCCCCGTCGCTCAAACTTTGAAAACAGATGCAGATATGTATCAGGCAAATCCAATCAGACTGCAGCGACAGAACTCGTCGATAGTGCTTGGACTGTTCGTCAACGAATAAGATAAGGGCGAGGCAAAGACTTGGCGATGCCGAACCAACGGGACATTATACCAGACACGTGCCAGGTACGCGCCGGGAATCTCGAGCTTACGAACGCCGACATCAAACGCGCGATACGTTGTAAATCTCCCGTCGCTCGCAGCGATGGATCGCTCAAGCGATCCGTCGCTCCTGCAATTTGTGCACAATCGCTCCAATCGCAAAGTCTGACATCGGCCATTTGTATGCCAAGGCTTAGTCCGCCCATGGCGCGTATTTCGAAACTGCCACGTGGCGACGAAATAGTAACTGCCCCTTGGACTAAGCCTTAGAGGAGCAGACGAACAGAGCGCCGCGCCGCCGCGTGGTCCCCCCAACCCACTTAGCACTGACAGTTTCCATGTTCAGAACTGTTCATGTGCATTCGCAAAAAATTAATCTATTAAAAGGAATGTAATTTTGGAGGGGTAATGACGATTTTGTAATGGAAAAAAGATGAAGGGATACGTACACGAAGGGCTGTCGCTAATGTGCAAAAATATTCATTAATTCATTCAATATATGAATTTGAACATCTTTCAGGAATTGTGAACTATTTTCCACATAAGGGCAATAAAACACAAACACATAGATGGTAGCATATGGTGCTTTTTTCACAAAAAAAAACGCCAAAGTTTTCCATTAACATTGCCAGTGCCAAGTTAATTCGATTTACTTGTCCAAAAATAGAATTGTGTGTTTATGAATGCTGAATAATATGTCGAATTTAGGAAGCTCGTCCACACATCTAATCGGCTGTTATGCAGAATCAAATACCAGCACTTTTTTATAATAAACGTCTCAACGATGTTTGTAGAGCATATCAGCCGTATTTTATTAAATAAAGTCTTTGTTTTAATGGACATAAGAAAAAATGCTAGATCCGTAATCACTTCCAAGCTAAGCTGGAAAGTATGAGAAGAGAACATAAAGCATTAAATACAAATAATCGAGCAAGTTTTCGGAATTACGGAAATCGTGGCCACTTACTCCGACAAACCCGAGATCCTGAAAGCATGTGCATTACCTCAGGCTGTAGAATTCAGCGCCTGACACAAAGAAACACCAGTTACAGATAATCCTTATTTGATGCTTAACTCTAAGAAACTTGCAAGCAAAGCTGATAAAACTGAAACGTACATTATAACCTTTGAAAACAACATCACAAAAGAGTTCCCCTCTTTTTAGGAGCTGGACCGCCAGAGATTTCTCTGCCTAACAGTTTATCCTTGATCATTCCCTTTCGCTTCAAGGCATCTCGAACAATACGAGCATTCATCGAGTAGGACTCCGCCGTTTCGCGCTGAACAAAAGAGCATTATTGTACTACAAAATAGTGTTCAATATATGTGCTGAAATAATGCAAAACTTTAAATACTGATTCTGAACTGTCCCGACAGAACTACGAAAACGTAGCGTAGCACCGATTTTGTATTTTGGAACAAATATGAGAATCAGGAACTGGATAATCCTCATTCAGCTCAATTCAATCTACATCCAGTCTAATGATACCAGTAGGAGCGATCGCGCTACTACCATATTCGAAAAAACTGGCACAGAAAAGTCATCATGAGTACTCACAGGCCTCGATTTCCTCATTCCTCTTCTTCTCTCCTCCATCGTAGAAACAGTGACTGATCCCATTTTTCCTTGATTTTTAACATTCCTCTTCATAATAATCTGAAACAATCGTCATGAACGAAAGCAATATGGTGTTCGCTCCAATTTATGTATGGCTGGACGTTAGAGAAACTAGCATCAGTGAATAACACGTGTTGAACTAACTAACTCTCACGGCACAACTAAATTTAAAAGAATACCTTCTTGGCCCTTTGCTCTTCATTATTTCCGCTGAATCCACCAACTTCCTGAGCAGAGCAATGCTCCCGAAATAGAATAACCAGCTTCAAATTGAATGTAATCTGATTAGAACATCGGAACGCCACATTACTTACAATTTTTTCGGTATTGCTGTTCCAATCCCTCAGGCCTACAACAAAATCGTTCGAAACACAAGAAGCTTTGCCTAATAGAACCATTATTCCGGCTTTATTTGGTATTAACCTAATTTATATATCCTTCTATTATATAAAGCGCTAACTTTGTGTGTCGGTTTGTGTATCTGTATGTGTGTGTGTGCGTGTGTGTGTGTGTGTATGTATGTATGTGTGTCCGTCCGCAAAATGAAGTGAGTGAGAAGGAAGCTCATGGGATAAACAAACCGCTAACAAATCGGGTAGCTTACAGGATTTGAGATATCAATGTTTTGTAGCAGGATAGTTGTGATAACACTCTCAGGGCTATATAAACACCTGCTTAGCACACTTCCGTTCATTCCACATGGTGCTGCAGTGGCAGCTGGAGGGCAGTGGAGAGAGGAAGGGAGGATGAGGAAGGGAAGCGAAAAATCTACCGTCATATCATGATTGTGTCCCTTCTACTGTTAGTGAAAAACCCTTGTTGCATACGCTAACCTTCCAATGGAGGTGTTGCGTTGTCACAGGAATGCGACCATCAGTCGGAGGATTAAAAGCCTTGCGTCACTGAATAGAAGTCCCGGCGGTTTGACGGGGGACTATATTACTGGTAAAGAAATACAAAGAATAAAATTGTGAGCAATAGACACTGTAATTAAAAACTAACATGCAATAACTTATGCAATAAAGACACAAACCAATATCAGGACACTTGAATACAGTCATTTATCCTATTGCCGAATGATCAACTTGACGACAGCCGGTAAAACTATGCATACCGCCATTTTCGCACCACAACGCACGCTGTGGCAACTGTGCATGCCACACCCATTACATTCTTTCTTTGCACGCATGCCTGACTTCTTCCAGAAATTTTTGCGTTCATTCTATAAGCCTCAAACCAACAGAACCAAGGGCACGCCCAAATGTCTTTATAGCTATGTCAAAGTATCTCCAGTCTGCAGAGGTTTCGCGACTTTTATGGTTGTACTTTTTTTATTCTGTTCCTTACGAAAATCTGACATTCATTCACCAACGGAATACAAAAATTCATAATATGGCAATTTACGTGTTATTTTTAAATGCAAAAAATAAGTTGCCCCCTTTCTGACCATAACACTCTTTTTTCGGCTTTGCTGTACATCACCGATAAGATATAATATCATCGAACATATACTCTGCAAAAACATCTCATTGTTTATGGCCGATGAGAGGACGCCTGCAAATCTGTGTTCCCAGGCGTCCGAAAAGCCAAAAGTGCCGTGAGTGCGTGAACATTTAAAACCTCAGGGGCCGTAAGGTATGCTTCCCCGAATGGTTGCGGGGACGAAAGTCCCTTTAAATTTTTTGTTTTGAACGATACTGTTTCTTTATTTTGCATGTTTACTTTAAGCTACACACATATATTAAATGTAGGCCCTTTATCAGGACAATCCCAGTTGGGACGACAGAGAAAATTTAAAGGGATTTTCGTCCCCTAACCCTTCGGGGAAGCATACCTTACGGCCCCTGTCTTTTCTTATAACTCGCTTCACGACATCACTAACGCCTACTGAAGGTACAAACCTTTGCACATACACAGTGTCGCCTTGTGTAGAAAATGTCTTTGCTGTTAGTTCTCTCAGGGTCAATAACTCGGGCACCATCACGCTTTCGTAGAGGCATACGAATAAGCAGACAATCACTGATCATCGCCATCTGAAAATGACAGTACGAAACTCTACTGGTAGAGAAGGGACTATCTTACTAGAAAAACCTACTTGACCACAATTACAGTAGTAGGTATACAATGGTTTCACAAAGTACTCTTCTCTATCATCAATATCAACCAACCGCGATTCTCCCTAAAACACAATGGTATCACGACGAAGTCACAAATCAGAGTCAATGAAAATTGTGTGGGAATCATATCCTGGAAACATTCTTACATTTTTGTCGTCTTCAACGCACATAGATATTCTCCTGGCCGCGTTCATTCCAGTACGTTCAAGCATTTTTCTGGACTCACCTATAAATAATACCTTTCTATAATTGGTTTCGGTTCATGGTAGTATTCCCAACCGATCGGGAAAAAATCCAAATAATTTACTATGAAAAAATAAACAATCCAAGTGACTGTTAGACACTAAAATTAATCATAATAGTTCAACTCACCCACAGAATCTTCCTCTGCAGTAAACATTCGGTGCTAACTTAGTTGGGGGGGGGGGGGGGGGGCACGCGGCGGCGCGGCAGTCTGCTCACCTGGGCTCTCTCGAGCGAGACAGTGTAAACTCGAACATTCCAGCTTTTCACGCATGTCAAGTGACTGCCCCACCCCCACCCCCCTAGACTGGCTACACTCCCCCTGGCCCACGGATTTCCGAACATGCCAGGCGAGCAGACTGCCGCGCCGCCGCGTGCCCCCCCCCCCAACTAAGTTAGCACCGACCTTTCCGTTCCTTGTCATATCAGTTACGCCCCTAAACTTCAGCTAGAACATTTAACATTCCTGCACATAAGGGCTACCAAATCACTACATCTGAGAAACATTTACAGCAATAAACTTAACGTAAACCACCAACGAACAAAAAACTCGTTAAGTTTACAACTAGTACTCATAAACATTCCAAGGATGGGTAAACAAAATAACAAAACTTGCAAATTTTAGCGTTCTAACGTTCATACGTGGTCCAGGATCGGCAACATCATGTGTAGCAAACAGTGCATTAATTTGACGCCTGACTGGTGGAACTCCACACATTGTTAGTGAAATTGAACTGGACACATGTTGTCCCCCCCCCCCCCCCCCCCATATTTAATGTTAGCTCGTAGCCTTGGGTCTTCGATGATATAACATTAACTTCTGGGTTTGTGAGTGAACGCCTAAATAAGCCTCTCTGCCTTGGTATCATTTTGCGTTTCTCCGCAATTTGGGAGGTGGGGACCCCACTTGGAAGAAAATACTTTAACCGGTCTCTCCTCGCGAGACAGGTCAACCCTATTTCACATTTATAACAACGGGGGGGGTCGATATTTATATGATTTACGGGGGTTATTTCTCGATGTCTGATAAATGTAGATAATGTAAATGGGAAATCTAAAGGAATTTGGGTTTACTGTTTTCAAGTGACTTACTCCCCCCGCCTCGACGTACCATTTAAGAAAAATGCGCGTTGTTGTAGTGATGACCAGAACAAATACTTAGATATGGTGTCAGGGTCGAGAAGGTGGTCACCAAACTCCTTCGGAGTCGAAACATTTTCAAAAGTACAACGATAACGGGACCCTCGATCCCCTTCTCTCTAATCTTTGTCCTGAACTAGTTCACCGCCTCCTGTAATCCACGTTCGGCCATGTTCCTCTCTTCTGCAATTTTTTGTTTGTTTATTTTTCACCTCCTTCCAAGCAGTCTTATCAGGCTCAAATTATACTGCCCCGTCTACATTCGCGTGTGAAGGATATCTGGGGATCGGTCTATCCACATCGGTGAACCTCCCTATCCAATGACACGATGGGCGACTTTTCTACTAGGGCTGAATTAACGCCTATTCTTCGTGGAAGTCAGCTCCAAAGTTGGTGCAAAACTGAAGCCAAAAGGCCCTCTGCCACGCTCCGGAATTTACTACTACGCAAGTATGATTTCTAGCGCATCAAATACAAAACACCCAGCCCTTCCCTCCTATTGATTACTCTTAAGTCTCCTGTTGGTGATTACAACTTGGGCCTTAAAGGTATCTCCGCCGAAGAGAGAGGGACCCCATCTGGTACTGATGCTTCCCCGAATCCTGGAGAACTACACTCAACAATTCCCGGTGAAGCTTTGAATGAATGCAATCGGAGCAGACATACCATAATCGTGGGTGTGGCTTTTCCCCGAGAGCTTTGGAGAGGCATACCCTGAAAACCCTTGTATAACTTCTCTGCATTGTTTTTCTAAGCCCTACTTGTCGGCGACAATGCTGCTGGAGATTGTAAGCAATACTTTAACACAGAAGATTGTATGATATCCTAGCCGCTTGAAAGAACTGGGCGACATGTATCCCAAAGTTGATTTTTTATTTTCCCCCATTGATGCCGTTCGGGCATCTCAGTTGTTTGTTTATAGTCCCAAGAAAGCACTACTATTAAACATCCATGAATGGCACTCCGACAAACTGACTCTGCGATGAGGCTGCAAAAGTATCTAACCGCAAAGTTCCAGATAATACAATAGCTTATAACGCCATACTTTCTCGACATGAAAAGAAAGGCGTTCCCTTACGATGAGTCATTATGAATTTTTAATTGTTATCATGACTTATTACATTCAAGACATTCCAAACTATGAGTTCGGTCATACTTTATAATACAGCCTCCGTTTCGGCCGAGTGACTTGCCATATACTCGTTTCGTCCACCGTTACGTTTGTTAAATACGAAGTCAATGTTTTAAAATCGATCATGAATTATCTGGATAGTTGAGGGTTTCTGGTTGGAAAGCTCCAAGCAGCATATTAACTGCCTTGGCCCAGAAGGAGCGTCGTTAACGGCAAGCAACCTAACACGTTGATGACCGTGTTGTGTCATACCACACTTCACATGCCGCAAACTAGTTTTCCTCAATTTATTTGGCGTTTTTCCTGTTCCACAACGGTCCATGTACATTATTGGATCCGAAAAAACAATTTTTCATTACTGATAATGAAAACGCTGAAGGATTAATGCCTATTGATGAGAGAATACGAAAAATGTTGAAGCAGTACGCGCACAACGGCGGTCGTCAACGTGTTAACATGGGTACTTATATGGCTGAAAGCTCAGACTTTTGGAGGCGTGGGAGAATGTCTAGATTTTCATAAGTATCTGTGCTGTATCTTCCATCGTGGTAACCTCACCGTAATGGCCACTTCACCAGCAGTCATCTTGTCTATCGTTTGACATCAAACGGCAAAGTCCAGAACCATAAGTTTTCGAGGTTCTCACCCTTTCGCTTAATTTCTCCTTTGCTGCCGCACCAGTTAGCAGATCACATTCATGGTATAGGCGCCAAGGTCCATGGCCGATAACCACACCACCTTCGGCCTTCTGACGACGTTGTTCCTACCCTTCTTAGTAAACATCTAGCTAGCAGAGCAAATGCTGAATGATTTTGAGTATATGTATGTGTGAAAAGGTTGGTTTGTACAGTCCATACCTCGAAGTCTGATTGGGCCACCACACTTGATAGAAGTTGCGTGGATAAGCTGATCTTGGCGACGGCGCTGACAAGAAACAGAATGGTTCTTTATGTCCCACACCTCCGCTGGCCACAGGTGACTTACGTTAGCTCCATAGCTCGCTAGTATGCAGATAGCGGCATGAGGTACATATAAAAACATCGAAGGCTGTGATTTGCTGCATTCATTCCAAATGTATGCTTGAGATGCTTGGTCTGTGCGCTGGCTGAATGAGCATGATACCACTGTACAACAAGTTTCCGAAGAGACGATACTCATTTTCCCGCTAAACTTATAGGCAAGACCGTATGGTCAGAGTTCTAAATCGGCGAACAATCGAATAGGGGCAATGCGGTTTTTTGCTAAGGAAATAAAAATCAGGGTACACTTAATGCAGTCTTGTGATGACTTTAGACCAAAGCGAACATTGGCTGTACTTTTCGGAGAGTTCATCGTGAGTACCAGGGCTGCTTGGCCCGATGGCCAGGTTTTTTTTTTCAAAAGCTTTGAACGAAGTAAATGAAATGCTCCATGTTCGGTTCGTTTTGAATCCACTGAGGTACTCTGGCACGGAACAGAGATAAATGAAAACCTTCAAGATTCCTATACTGGAATTCTATTGGTATTACATCTATTAACTTGTGGAAACTTTTCCCCTATCTAAAAGCATGACGTCCTCTGCGAAGCCATCACATGTTTTTTTTTGACAGATTTGTTTGCTGTAAAATTACCCAGTTAACAATCATTTTATCATCAAGATTGCAGTGCTTAACCAGACGATTCGGCTTTCTTTGCTTTATTCAGAACCTGAAAAAGTCGAGAACACTGAGATCGACCCCTCCGAGCTTCTAACAATCCTGAAGACAACTCCAATAGACGGAAAACATCAGTCGGCATCGGTCAATGCGAAGTGTTACCAGCTCACCTTGATGTCTGTCGCCAAGGAGCGAGAGATACCACCACTAAAGCTTGAATTTGTATTCACTGAGCATTACCACCTCCCCTCCACGACCTCATATTCCCCTTTTCCATTGGTGTTGGGGTCCTTGGCGGCAATCCAAAAAGCTTCTCTTGCACGCTGTTGTTTCTGTTTGTACTACCAAAATGGAGACTGATCTTGCAAACACATCGACATCTCCGTGGCACTGAAAGCGAACAAATTCAGAAACCTTAAAAATTCTTCACAGGTTATTCCGTGAGTGGGCCTGCGAGTGGCAAAACAGCTTAGACTTTTTCTACTACCGCCCAGTTGATTGATTTAGGGTTTATTGTACGAAAAGTCTTATATTGACAGCTTCAAAGAGTGTACCACATGTAATTTGTAAGCACACGTTTGCATTTTAGAACAGTGCTCGAAAGGATGCTGATGTGAATCTGATGGAATATGGTGAACATTCCATCTTTTTTAGGAATTGTTGACGATGAAAACGTGTTGAGTGATGAGGAGAGCATAAATCTCTGGAGACAAGTGTTCAAGAAAGTAACGGTTGAAGATATCAAGAAGTTTGCTGCGCAGTACCAAGGTATTGTCTTGCTAATTTCTTTGCGTGTTATCTGCATGCTAAAGCTATTGCCATAAAGGATCTGAGGAAGAGGAAAACGATATTGTCGCGGCCTACAACTCCTGGAAAGGTGATATGACAATGATTATGAGCTCAATCATGTGTGCTACATTTGAAGACGAACCACGAATCAAGGCTTGTTTATATAATGTTTTTCGAACTAGAATTGATCTCTCGTAAATGAAGCAAAGAGAATTGGCGTTTGTAATTTGGCGTTGGCGTAATTCACGGCTTTTTGCGGACGTCATACCGACGATTTCAGGCGATTATTGATAAAAAGATCAGCGAAGGCATCTTAAAAGTGACTGCAAAATATAAATCTTCTACAGCTAAGGTATGTAGAAATGTTTTACTGTATGAAATCGTTCCCTCACGCAATACCGAAAGCATTTCTAGACAAGCGTAAGTAAACGGAGGAAAAATGCCGAGAAAGAAGCTGCCGAAGCAGAGCAAGCTCTCAAAGAAATTAAAGCAAAGGTGAGCTACTTTTCGAAGCATGATTGAGATATTGTTTGAAGTTCACAGACGTGATAACGGTCCTTGATCATCCTTTGACCAATGCAACTAACATATTTTAGGAAGGAGATAACAGTCTTCAGCAGCTCATTCTTCGTAGACAAGCTGATCGAGCTTCCAGTATGGATGACTACTTCGATTCTCTGGCTACAAAGTACGGTGCAAAAACGAAACGGGCAAAGAAATAAGGGCTTTCTTTCTGGCTTATAGGTGATCTCAGACATTTGAAGCTGCTTGTACAATACGACTTCCACTTTTTCCTGTTTATGAAGTTATTTTATATTCCCCAAATATATTGCATCAACTCACAAGCTCCTCTAAAGCGCTTCCAAACTGCCCAGTCCACAAAGTAATCGTACACAACCAAGAGAAAGACCTCTTATAATATTACGAGATAATGGAAAAATAATGTTAGTAATAAATCACAGACAACGCTCACAGAAACTCATATATACGAAAAAAAATTACGCATAGAGGCAAAGGTGCAAGATAAGGCGCTCAGTAGGCCTGGCACGCCATAAGTGCGGTCCCTGACGAAGAAAAATGATTGGGGCTGCTTATTTACGTGCATAACAGGTTTGATAAAAATAACATATATAACCAAACAAACATCGGGAACAATTGAACATTTTTGGACAGCTTAGCGAATTAGATCATATTGTAACGTACGAGAAACAATGTAGACCGGTAACTAATGCGGAGTACGAGCGGTCACTGAAGACTGATCAAAAGCTCTAATATAATACTACTTTCTTTGCTGTAAATTGTTTGCCAACCATTCCATAGCCTCATCGAGTCCCTCTCCCTTTGACGCGGATGTCTTGAAAATCTGGAATGTCCTATTTCGCAAAGCTTCCAATCCAAGTGCTTTGTGGACTTCAGCTGGCGTCAGACAGTTGGCGATATCCTGGAACTTGCACATATTCGACTTGAAAGCGATGCTTATGATGAAAAGACAGCCTACTAGAGATCAAGGGAGAGGTGATCAGTAGTGCAGGGATTAAAAGCCTTTTTTGCCTAGAATCCGAGAACTGGGAACTTCCTGTCCGCGTTGGTTTGCGCGTTAAGCGTGCCTCATCGGTGCTTACCCCATTTATTCATTTTTACTATGCATCTCGATCACGTGCGGCTACAGTAATTAGCTCTGAAACCAATCAGTGTATAAATCGGAAACATCGATTTGAAACAAACTCAAATTAAGCAAGATTTTGCCACACACCAGGAAGACACATTATTTGAAATCAACAACGCTCATCAACGCTAACGCTCTCTCCGCTAGACCGGCGCAGGTATGGCCCTGCCAAGCAGGTGGGGCATACCCTTTGCCGCAAATCCCGTTTAGTCCCGCACCCCCAAAGAGCCCGCGTGCCTTCCCACTCGGTACATTTCCGCTTCTTCCACTTTTTATCGAAATCACCCCTTGAAAACTGGAACTGTATGTAAAACAGACCTGCTTGTTGGCTAGAAACGGCAAGAATGGCCCCTTGGAGTTCCGTCTTCTTGCAGCATCGCCACCAATTCTTGACGTGAAATTCCAACCTAAATCGGAAAATAGTTGGTAATAATTCACCTTTCGGGAACATGCCACTTACCCTATCCCTATCTGCAGAATCAACGAACGTAGATAATGGCGTCGGTATTAGCATAGTAACACCGCCAGTACGGGCGAATTGATGTTTGTCCACCGAGATCCCACACCTTAATAAGTCATTGCAAGCAGAGGGCTATCATTGATGGTCCACAGACACTCATGGTTCCGAATTTCACTTATATCCTTCTATTTTATCAACCGCTAACTTGGTGAGCCGGTGTATGTATGTGTGTCCGTCCGCAAAATGAAGTGAGTGAGAAGGAAGCTCATGGGATAAACAAACCGCTAACAAATCGGGTAGCTTACAGGACTTTGAGATATCAATGTTTTGTAGCAGGATAGTTGTGATAACACCTCTACGGCTACATGAACACCACTGAGCACACTTATGAAACTACTTTTGTTGCACACGGGTCACCTCCACCTGGTGTTGGTGTTGAATGTGGAGGAACCACAGCGAAAGGGGCAGTTTACGCAGGGAAGGAAGGTCCCGGTGGTTGACGTGGGACCACTACGGTAAGACAAAATAGACTAGAACCCTGCTGTTCAAATCAACTGATAAACTTCTCGGGCATAAGCCCTTACGGAAAAAGAAGCAATTCATGCTATACGTAAAACAGGAGTAGGGACCGGAACAGGGGCGGTATTCAATCCTTCCCCCAGGGGGATATATCCCCCTCCTCTGATTCAATCCTCTGGGGGGACAAAAAAGGGTTGCGTCATAGGACCTAGCATACCTCTGTGTTTCTACCTGCCAGACAGTTAGAGCAGCGCTACTACCCTCCACTGATGAAGCACTCTTTTCCCCTGAGGGGTCGCGCTGCTCTAACTTCGTATAATGTATGCTATACGTATTATAACTTCAGTCCGGTACCATTCGTACCTAGTAAGTAGCTGCCCTCACCCCCCACCCCCTAGACTGCCTACACTCCCCCTGGCGCACAGGTTTCTCGATGTACGGGACCCCGTGAGCCAGGGGGTGTGAAGGCAGTCTAGGGGGTGGGGGGTGAGGGCAGCTACTTACTAGGTACGAATGGTACCGGACTGAAGTTATAATACAGTGGCAGGTAGAAACACAGAGGTATGCTAGGTCCTATGACGCAACCCTTTTTTGTCCCCCCAGAGGATTGAATCAGAGTAGGGGGATATATCCCCCTGGGGGAAGGATTGAATACCGCCCCTGAGGTGAAAGAACTGTCCGTGGGGCATGGGGGGGGGGCTAACCGGGACGTGTACGCTAGTGGGGCAGGCCGTGATGAATGAGGTGAGGCGTGCAAGAAACCACCTCTAATGAACTTGAGCTGGGATACCCTTGTGGAAGCATGTATCTCAACGTTCACATAACGCGTGCAGTATCGTGTGCAGCTGAAATGGTAAGTAATGTTACGGAGTCATGACGAATAGTCTATTTAGAGCCAAAGTCAACAGACAACTAGGACAAAACAAATTAATGACAAGAGCGCTTAATGACGTAGCATTCGTAAGTGCCTTAGGAATGCACCGTGTACTTGACTTCACTCAAAATCATCAGGGCGCCTGAATTTGTGAATGGACTTCACAGTAACTTATGCCCTCTGTTTATTTTACAGAGGGAATCTGCTTCCTATTTCTTGACCCTAGAAAGATAGGTATTGTGGACCTGTGTGGTTTATATTGCTTAAATAAGGCCTAATGGTAGGCCTACAGCACTATCAGTGCCCTCAACTGCGTGACTTCAAAAGGTTGCGAAATACTGCGAGAACGAATGACGGGCATTACCGGTTTGCTCGCTATGTCCCGCCAGTTTTTCTATATTTTGCTCCGCACCGTCAGGGTGCGGCTGAAAGTCAACGGCATTGAACACTTAAGTATCCACACTTGACCTAGCAACGACAGAAACCTTGTTGTACGTTTTTTTAGAGGCTAGTTTTTCTGTTTTTCTGCCTGCTGTTATATATTTCTATTGAAAACCTTGCGGAAAAACCAATTATTCTAAACGCCAACAAAAAAGAAAAAGAGAAAAGAAGAAAAACTTGGGCAAAGTAAAGAGTACCATAAAAAGATTGCTGCGTCAAATTTCGATTACCTCAACACTTGCATAGTTAGGAAGCTAATGCGTAAAGCGGCACGCATATTTAACTAAATAAAAATAAATGAACAAGTAGACACGGCACCTGGAATTTGAGATTTTTGTACTCCACTTGCTCAACATTGAATCCAATAGTTGGAATAGTTGTGACCACTTCTCCGAACCTTAAGAAATGTTTAGAAACAAGAGATGTGCGCATCTATGCTTGAAATTGTACCTGTAATCTGTATAGGATAGTGGTTTTTCCTGCACCATCTAAACCAAGAATCAGGATACGCATTTCCCTCTGCCCAAACAGACCACGAAAGTAACTGAGAACTCCACCCATATCTTCCAGCAATCTGAAGGGTTACCGATTAAGGAATCGCGAAAAGAGTGGTGCCGCAAAATTCCAAAAAAAATGGGAAAAAATCCGGATATCTCAAGAAGGAAACAAACCTTCCACTCAAGAAAATACCTCTCAACCGATGGTAGTGTTCCACACGTAAAAAACCTGAATCGATAAGCACATCGGCCACCATCACGGATTCCACGTGGATACAACGTTATAACCTTGTAAATCCTCATAATAACTAACGGAACTCCATCACCGTTTAGCACTTTAAACAGGCATAAAAAAATATTTCTCGATAACAATTTCAACAATATCACAATCAACAAGTAAAACAACTATAACAATTACAGGCGTAGATGGTAACAAAATGCACATCTAATTTCTTGCGTATAACTGGTAACTCCTGATAAATATCAGCTAGAATTCTCAGCTTTTTTCTTCCCAAATTTGAGTTTATTTTTGAATTTCTTTGGATTCAGTCCATATGCTCGAAGACGGCTATCATCTATTCTGATTTGTTCTGCAGTTCGCATCTGTAATAAAACGCATTGTTTTAAGTATCCCTAACACGGAGTCATATAAAATACCTTCTCGGATTTTGAAGAATTCTTCATTTTTGCCTTCTTCGCAACAGGTGTTTCCTCGCTAGTTTGAACTTCAGGCGTGGAATTGTGATTATGAACATTTCTTTTCCTTTTCCGCTTCTTTTTCTTTTTCTCCTGCTCATTATTTGATTCCGTGATTCCGTTCTCGTTCCCTTGTGGTAACGAGGTCTCCGCCTTTTCCTGGAAAAGCAGTCGCTCTTGCATCATGACACTATTAGTAGTTAAGATTGTGCTTCCTATTATGAGCATTGCCAGCAAATCAAGCAGGTTAGCAGGACTATACGTACCATCAATGTTATGACTTCTATAAGGGCAGCAAAAGTTTTACTTATAAGCAGGGTCAACCCTATGTTGCTACAAGTAGCAACGGGGGGTCGTATTTTGATGAGTTTGTAGAGGGGGGTCGTACTTGCTTCGGTTGTAAGAAGTTGCATGTGATGAGTGGGGAGCGGCGCGGGAGAAAATTTGCCGTTTCAGCGCGCGTATATACCCCCCTTAGAAAATGGAGCAGTTGAAATATGGGTAAATATACGGAAACTGTAGGGAAATGTAGAGAATTTTTGGAGGTAAAAATTGTTTGAAAGAGGGGGTCGTATGAAACATTTCATGAGGGAGGGGGGTCGTAAAAACTTTTTGAAAAGTAGCAACGATAGGACCGACCCTGCTTATAAGTTCATTTTCATTCGGCTGGAGCATTTATTGCAAAATGTAATTGATTCGCCATTCTCAGATATCGATAAACCAACCCCGTTTAAGGATACTAAGTACGGGAAAACTCAGTGTTTCTATGGGAAAACATGTATGGAATAAGATACCTGAGCCTGCAGTGGTAACGCATCACACTACAATGAACGGCTAAAGTTACTAGCGTAACGGGAACAGGCAGACCGTAACACCACATGGGCTGGTCGGTTAGGATATAAAACCGCAATGTGGAGCTAAAGGTCTCACCTCAGAAGTGGCTGGGTTGCCATGTCTCTTCTTCTTCTTTTTCTTCTTCTCTGTGTCAACACTGCTCGATAAGACCTCGCTTTCTGCAGGTTTACTTTCCATCTTTTTTGCCTTTTTCCTATATATGATAAATCGTTAAACATTGACCACCGTACAGAGTTTCAAAACTCATGGTAATTTCCTACCCTCCAAAATCAGTCGTGAAGATGCGCTGCTTTTTCTTCAGATCGGCAGCTTTTTTCTTATAGCGATTCAAATCAACTATTTCCTCGTGCTCACTTCGATAGCCAGTTGCCTATATCAATCGATATCTAAAAGGTGTTCAATAGAAACGAAAAAAAAGACAAATTTGCCTTTTTGAGCGAAGCCCATGCGTTCAACTGTCGATCGTCTGCTGACAATATTTCACCCACAGATAAGCCAAAGTCGTTTGGCACAACTTGTCTGTATTTGAAGCGCGTAAGGTGATCTCCTGAAATAATGATGAATTTGAGAGGTTTGGAGCATTTGTTCTTTGATTTCACAATAGAGCAGGTTTTGCGCGAATAACGTGAGCATGGCATTTTTGAAAAAATAGAAACTATAAAGTAGTCACTCCTAATTCCCTTTACTGCGAGCTGGATTCACCGCGTGCGTATTTCTCTTTCAAACCAAATTGCTCAGGAAAGTGAAAAAATATTCCTACGTGTGTATGCACCAATTGTCCGCATATATCCAGCAGCTCAGGAGTGAAAAAAATCTATGACTGTATTACATTTCTTAGAATCTGTTTCCTAGAAGCGAGGATCTCGTTATTGCAGGACTACTTGCTCCACGTGGTGATGATCACGGAGAAACTGCTTTTTGACGCTCTCGATGCTATCTGATGCCATTATGTTTGGACATTACATGTCTACAAATGCGAGGATGTGGCTCTCTAGGCCAGAACGCGACTTTCCACTTCCGCAGCTTCGAAGCTTTTTTTCTGTGGGAGCCCCATATCATCCCTGATCATGAGTGAACTTGGGGTTTTCACAAAGAAAGAACCTTTTCGCTGCGAAAACAGGAACACGTCCTCTCCTAGCGACCTACACATCAACTGTGATATACCTCGCCGCCAGTAAAGAGCGCTAACGCTGTGTAAAAAAAAGAATGCAGAAGTCTTACCAATAATATCTTCATAATCGAGCGCATAATATTCATTGAAGTATTCTTCAAAGGTTTTCTCCTTCGGATCGAAGAGCGGTTTTTTCCTGCGCACGGCTTCACGGAATTTACTGTTACGTTTCATTTTGCGTCGAGACTCTGTAATCAACCTGGAATTAGCAAGACAAGGAAGACAGCAGATAAAAAATTTGAATGCTGTGACCTACTTTTCTCGCTACTCCGAGTTGGCTCATCACTTTTGTTTTCGCTTTCCTCGTCATTCTTTTCCGATGAGACATCCTCGGATACAGTCGCAATGGGGAACTTATCATAATCACTACTATCGCTTTCGACCTCGCTCTATAAACATTGTGAGAACCTTCTACTTCAGAGGTAAAAACGTTCAGTAGCAAAAAAATAGAAAAACAAACGTCATCACTGAACACAGGTTTCTCCGCATCCTGGTCGCAAGCTGAGTCATCCTTACCGTAATACTCTTCATTAAAAATTTGCTGAAAAAGCACGAAGATGAGATGTACCGACTGTAAAAAAAAAAAGAATGCAGAAGTCTTACCAATAATATCTTCATAATCGAGCGCATAATATTCATTGAAGTATTCTTCAAAGGTTTTCTCCTTCGGATCGAAGAGCGGTTTTTTCCTGCGCACGGCTTCACGGAATTTACTGTTACGTTTCATTTTGCGTCGAGACTCTGTAATCAACATGGAATTAGCAAGACAAGGAAGACAGCAGATAAAAAATTTGAATGCTGTGACCTACTTTTCTCGCTACTCCGAGTTGGCTCATCACTTTTGTTTTCGCTTTCCTCGTCATTCTTTTCCGATGAGACATCCTCGGATACAGTCGCAATGGGGAACTTATCATAATCACTACTATCGCTTTCGACCTCGCTCTATAAACATTGTGAGAACCTTCTACTTCAGAGGTAAAAACGTTCAGTAGCAAAAAAATAGAAAAACAAACGTCATCACTGAACACAGGTTTCTCCGCATCCTGGTCGCAAGCTGAGTCATCCTTACCGTAATACTCTTCATTAAAAATTTGCTGAAAAAGCACGAAGATGAGATGTACTTGCTTGAAGAGCAAAATTAGATGTCAAATCAAACATACGAGTTCATACCTTCATTCTCTTGTCATATTCTCGAGGATCAAAATCACCCGTGAGATCATCGACACTAATGGGAATATCATCACCAGCCATCTTTTTGAGTCGTTCCAATTTCTTTTCAATTTCAGCCTTTTTCATCTTCTTCAGCTCTCGAATCTCCTGCACGAAAATGAGATAAGACGGGTAAAGAAAAGATTACAGAATCTACGTAAGAAACCACACACCTGTTTGCGCTCGTTCTTCTCTCTTTCCTTTCGTTCTTTGTACTCCTCTCTTTTGACTTTTCTTTTCGTATTGCTTTGTCTCAGAGAATCTCCAACAGTTCTGGGGTATTGCTTTATCTAAATTATACATGTATAACAAAAGGGCAATCCTGCGCGAAACGCGAAAAAATAAGAACGAGAAAAAATTTACAAATTCCTGATCAGGGTCCTCAAAACGGAAGTTGTATTTCTGCTCGAAATTCCGCTGCATGTCCAGCAACTTCTCATCTTCCTCAATCTCCTGGATGTCGTCGAGAGTGACTCCTCTGAATTGGATGTTTTCTGCGAGAAACATTACAGAATAAATGAATATCAATGAACATCGTCAACAACAAATCAAAACATTCGTACTTGTCCTCCGCGTCAGGAATAAAGTCCTTGTTCAAAATGTAATCCCGCAGAAACTTTTCCCCATCGTCAATATTAGGATCCTTCCAAGCCTGGAGAAATGAATCAAATTTCACTTCTAATGGTACTTGTGGCATTTGAAAAGGTTCAAGTACCTGAGAAACACTATTACCTTCTTGAGTCCTTTCAAACAGTCGTCCTCACTAATATCTTTCGCGTCCTGTGATTTCATCCATGAGTAGAAATCATTGTCTTCTGCCTCCTTTAATCACGGAAGAATGAACGAACATCACTTGATAGTAAAAGAAGGAAAGCAATGAAACCTTCTCCTCCTTCGTTTTCACTTTGGGAACGAGCAGTTCATCCGATTCATCAGAGTCGCCGTTACCCTCATTACTTTCAACTACACGGCGCAGCCTAGAGAATTACCCATTCTAAACTATTCAGTTTAATGAGGATAATTGCATCTTACTCTTTGCGTATCTGCTCTTGCTGTTCAAAGTAGTTTGGATCTTTGGGGTCGTCGTCGTCATCACTTTCATCTATTTGTCTGAATACAAAAGTCAAAAGGAAGAAATTAAATGAAAAGAAAGAAATCGAAATAAGGGGGAAAGGAAGTTAAGTAGTGCAGCAGAAAAGCACAGCAAGTAATACACCAAAAAAGTGAGTGAGATCGAACGAAAACATAAGAAAAGAAACAACTCAAATCAAAATGAACGTTTAGCTCACCCTCCTTTTTCCAATATTAGTTTTCGTTCATAATCTTTCAAATACATCGGTTTCACTTTGCGATCCTTCGTTTTCGGCTTTTCACTATGACTAGCTTCTTCACCATTACTTTGCCAGAAAGAAGACGCCCCATCGTAGATAGCATTGTCGTTGTCCTTTAGGGCACTAAGGGTTTTCAGAAACTGCATTTCGTCTGCAGCACTCCACTCCTAAAATTTAACTTTGGAATTCCACCACGAATGAATGGTCTCTCACTTACAGGCTCATCATCACTTGAAGATGTATCATCGAGATTATCGCCGTATTTGTCCTTGACTAAAAATTGTTTTCAATGGTAGGCATTTTTAAATTAAAGGTGAACTATTTCCAATCACTTCTCATGTAGAAACGAAAGGTTAAACACACTTTTCTGAAGCTCCTCCAGCCTTCGCCAGTTCTCGTAACGTTCAGCATAATTCTTGTTTATCTCCAGCGAATTAGTTGTTTTCTCCGCGTCTTCGTCATCATCAGAATCGAGAAGCTTCATTTTACTCATATGATTTCTTAATGCATCACAGAATATTTTTTTTGCCGAAGAAGTTTGCCTTTAAGCTTTGCACGTAGAAGAGAAAGCATCCGGATGTTGGAGAAGGATTCTCTCAACTAATGTTTGTGACTGCATAATTATGACCCATAAATATCCAACAGTAAACAAGCTGTTGATTACGCTGATCGAGAAATACTGCAATATTTATACATGTACCAATACAACCGTTTGAGGAGATATCTAATATTATGACTCAGGAGTACACCACCAAATAGACAGTATTCACAAATATCGTTCCGGTGCGGTGAAGCGCGGACCCATCAACTGCAGTAGAAGCGGAAACAACGAACCTTGAAAATCAGAATTCACATGAATCACAAAAGCACTACAATACAGAGAAGTCAAGCAACACAAACTGTTAACGAGCACACGCTATATGAAACCTTATGTAATAGTTGTGGAACATTATGAAGCCAAATCATTTCTGATCGTTCGATGGACTGCTCGATTCAGGATGTGTTTCATGAGGCTGCTGAGCTTCATCGGACTGCTTCTGCTTTTGAACGGAGTGAATCGAAACCTGAATAAATGTTTTAGGCCGACAATTGTTAAACATTTAAAATCCACAGAAACAGACTTTAACAACATGCGAGGCGAACATACAAAAAAAACAACAATGAAGTTGCAAAAACTTGTGAAAATAACCGAGGAACTTGATCTGACCTGGTCATAAGCCGGAGGTGGTACTCCTGATGGTTCGCTACGCTCAACCCAGCCGTCCAGGGGCACCTTTTTCACAGGAAGCGGACCCGGACCAGATGGGGCAACTGGACACCGACCAGCACCGTCGTTCTAAATAAATTTGTTTTGTAATAGTGACTGAGTCACTCGCTGCTTAAAACATACCGAAATTCTTCTGTATGCAGCTGAACGCATAACGCGGAAGAAAATAACAGAAGCGTAAAGAGTGAGGAGCAATGCTCCAACTCCAAATGCTATCATTATCCAGTAGAAGACTGAAGGTGGGTGATTAGAAGACATCTGATAACGGACCACTGAAACATAAGGATTACATACCGCTTTGCACATAGCTACACTTTCATACCTTTGACGGAACGCCCCTTAGCATCGCTATCATCAGCGCCGTCGACAGGATGGGTACTAATTATGGAGTCTCCATTCGATAAAATGTTGCCGATTTCAGGCCCTACGAGTGCAAAAATCACGCAGGAAACCACAGTTTTCAAAAAACCTTGGTTCAGACTAACCAATATGAGCATAAGCGTCATGCTCTGAAGGCCTCTCGATTGCCACATGACGTTCGCGTTGCATATGACGTCTAATGCCGTCAAAGAAGTGCCTTGAAAATGCGGCCAACATTTCATTCATGCGATTGTGCATTGCCATCATACGGGCATGTGCTGATTCGATCATGTCGGAATTACTGAATGTTGAAGTATTCGCTAACAGCTTGAAACAGAGTACCTGAATCTTTTGCATTTACTACTTACTTCTCATCCTCTTGAGTGGGATTTCTATTCTCAGAAATCACGTTTGCGGAATTGTGTATTGGAAGAATTTGACGATTCAGATCTCCAAGGATGCTAGATAAGAATCTGTCTATATCCGAAGCGCCACCGAGGGCGGGCCTTTCTACTGACGTGACGCCGTTGCTGTTGCGAACTATTTTGACATCAGGTTTTCCATCATTGGAGTATTTCACGGACATCTGAAATTGCTTCAATGTTGTCGACAACAGGACCGAAGATATTGTTCAATCCTGTATGATAGTATTTTTGATCTAAAATAAAAGCCTAGGGAGCGGAGTTTGATTTGGTCAAGAAAGTTGAGAACCATGGGATCCCATTGCGTTCACCACAGCCCTTAACAGGTCATATACTAGGTAAGGAATATGCGAACTCACGAAAACGCTGCTGGTCATTGGCAACAAGCAGGCGTAGCTGCAGGCTGAACGAGCTTCGGAGTTGGTCTCATTATCCTGACTGAACTTGCTATCACAACCACGTTGACAATCAATGAATGCGAAAGGTCCAGCAGAAATAGAAGCACGTCCATCGCAACCCACATGACACGCATCCTATAAAACATCGAAACGTGAAGAACAGTATGATATGAACGGTCATATTGAAAACAATATTTTTTTGATATGAATTTGGAAATTTCGCGGCTCATTACTCCCGTCTGGACCTTAAAAGATTGGCCTAACGTTTCGGGATGTGCTGCAAATATTCGCGCTAATTGGGAACTGTAGAAGCCTGCCGCATACACGTCTTGCAAATACCAGTCAATATCAAATACCATGAAGGGTTTTTGATTATATTTCTAAAACCAGTCTGCTGACAAAAAAGAACTCCCTTCTGCAGGTAAATCTAGTCTACCAGTCTGCTGACAAAAAAGAACTCCCTTCTGCAGGTAAATCTAGTCTAAGTTCCGTGAATGGGGACTCAATAATTTCAGCCATTGGCTACCTCAGCTCAGACTAATTTAATTATTTAATATCCAAATTATTCATTTGGAGAAAAAAATGTCATCACTTCATCTGTGCCATATTTTTCATTCTCTGTCCTAAACGGCAGGTAGCAGTACCTAGGGTTTGCAAAAAAGTGAATGTAGCGAATGATTGATTGAAAACCAGTTTCAGCGAACAGAACGTTAATCTTTCACTAGTTCATCTCTAGAAGCTGATTTGCACTCGAAACAAATCTGTAATTGTGCACCACAACCGCCTGAGCAGTGATTTTTCATTGAGCGACATTTTTTTCTCGATTTGGAACCTGCCAGTTATTAGCGGACCTCCTATACACTTTTCTCCTATTCAATTCTTCGCTTTCACCAAAGCCTGGACAAATCGGCGTTGAATGGATAAACGCTAACAAAATCGACGTAGTTTTGCGTATTGCGTCCCAACAACAGTAAGGTTTGCAATAACAAAATGTAAAAGCCCACTAGTCCGTCCTCCTTTGTTGTGAAATGGAAAATGATCATGCCGATTGAAATCCCTTATCCATCCCAAAATCACCACGCATACGAGGAATATGCATATTAAAAAGACGAATTAAGAGTCACAAACGAATATTATTACATCCGTGAGGTGAGGGTAATAGAAACGTAATAGTCGATTGTGTAAGAAGAAGGGAAAAGCCATACTCACTCTAATTTCCCCCTCCGGATATTTTCCAGCACATTTTGTCATGCAGAACGATTTGTCATCCGCCAAAATCATGGAAATGAGAGTCACTCCTAGCACGACTCTCATGGTGAAACAGCGCCCGCTCTCGTCGTCAGAAGCTGGAAAGGAGAGCTTCAATATTCTGGTCAATTGATGTGGAGCGAGCACCATACGAAAGCGAACAGGAGAAAATATGAATATGTACAAGGAAAGAGAACTATTTAAAAGCGGTGTTCGATGCGTTCACATGACACCTTTCAAGAAAGCTCTCTTTATGGGAACTTTCACAACACCTGGAAAATCCCCTCGTTTTAGATACTGCGATGAAGGATCAATGATATGCTGTAGATCAATGGTAATGGATAAGGATTACCGTATACGTTGATCAGCGCCTTCTTGAGATGCGCCATGCACCTATCCTCCAATAAAAATAGTAGTGGCATATTAATACTATTGGTCTACACAATGGGATGCGGGACCCAGGTAATATCGAGGTTTTTATCCTCCCAACGAATCTGGTTCTAATTAATCGCATCAAGGTAGAGAACTCAGTTGGCCTGAGCGGAAGTCGATTCAAGATTCAAAACCTTGGTGAGCTATGCCACTTCACACTATACCACTTCTGCCAAATTTATTGAAAAACTCAATTGGTTATCATTTCATAACATAAACAGGCATCGGTGCTAACTTAGGGAGGGGGGACTGGCGCGGCGCTTTGTCAATCTTCCTCTGAAAGGTTCAATTTACTACTGTATTTCGAAACTGCTACGATGCGGGGAAATAGTAACGGTTTCTGTGACTAAGCCTCAAAGTTGCAGACAAGCAGAGCGTCGCGCCGAAGCGCTTCCCCCTTCCCAACTAAGGCTAACACCCAGACATCTCTGGCTGGTGTCAGAGTCCGCGATCCGTCGCGCGATCGACTGATCACAGAAATCACAAGTGCCCCAATCAATACTGCGAGGTGCTCTCCAATCCCGCCGCATTTCTGCTTGATGGTGATGGCTGAATGACGACTGTTCATGATTCTACTTGTTTCATATTCAGTGTTTCAAATGTTCAAATGGGGCACTTGCGATTTTTGCGATTCGCGCGAATCGCGCGACGGATCGCGGACTCTGACACCAGCCTAGATGTTGGGTGTTTGCCC